TTTTTTTTAAGGCAGCTTTGTTATTAAATGTAGCATTTTTGCCAGGGTTGTCCCCGGGCAGCCTACCAATCAGGCGAGAAAGGTTTACTGGAAAGGTCACAAAAACTACAGTAGACGGAGAGTAGAGCATCTTCCGGTTTCTGTAGCAGTAAGCAGAATAGCTAGAATTGGTAGTATAATTGAGTATGACATCCGTTTTTCACAGGCCAAGGCCTGCAAGCTAAGCTGGCTGATGCTGTCAGATACCCCCGGGCAGAATTGTGAGGTCCCCGGCCTCGAATGTTTATCATTGAAATGGAATTGACAAGTTTAAAAGAAAAAAAAAAAAAAAAAAAAAAAAGTTGTAGCATTTTTTCCACAACTCTGGGGACGGGGCATACTCGCACTAGCATTTTTTCCACAACTTTGTGGACGGAATCACGGTCAGGTGCATCCACGCGGGGTCGGAAAAGTGTCCGTATACATCCAGGAAGTCCTACCTTCTTCAGCCGAATACAGCGTACGGTCATTATTGCTGTATTTAGACGGAAAGATACCCCAAATACATACAGCTATAATCACCGTACGTTGTATTCGGGGTGAAGAAGGTAGTGTCAGTATGCCCTGACAAAAAAAAATGGGCCTATGGAATTAAGGTTTTGTCAACATATATGGGGTTTATGGATTTTTGAATCATTTTTCGATGAAGTTTTACGTCTTTGATTTTGTTTTTTTTCTTTTCTTCGTTTTGAAATTTCAAATTTCCTTCGAAGTTTTATTTTTCTGGATTTTTCGATGAAGTTTACGTCTTTGACTTTTTTTTCATCTCTCTTTTTTTAAATTTCAAATTTCCCTTTTTTTTTTTTTTTGTTTGCGGATGAGCGCGTCGGCTGACAGGCCGATGCTCCTTTTTTCTTTCCTTCTTTTTCTTTTTCTTTTTCTTTTTTTTCTTCTTCTGACAGGCCGATGCTGTGGCAGCTGCAAGAGAGGCAGAGCAGAGGAGACGGGCGAAGAAAGAGAGACAACTCATGCTGGAGGCAAATTTCAAGAAGAGATTTGAGGAAAGGAGGAGGCAGTCTTTGAAGCGAGGATGCGAGTCAGCAGCCAAGAGAATGAAGGAGAATGTGGCCCCGGAATACCCTCCATCCAAGCCAGCTGGTCTTGTGAGTAGAGGCAGTTGAAAGTTCATTCATGCATATCTATCGCAAGAAACAAGCAGACAGATGACGCGCGGTGGCGCGTGTTTGTTTGTGTGCATGTGTGTATATATATATATATATATTATGTCTCTAGGTTTCTGTGTGTGTGAGAGAGAGAGTAGTATGTGTCCTTTTGTGTGTGTGTGTGTGTGTGTGTGTGTGTGTGAGAGAGAGAGAGAGAGAGAGAGAGAGAGAGAGAGAGAGAGAGAGAGAGAGAGAGAG